TGCTGAATATTTGGTGGGTTTTTGTTTTTATGAAGGATATTGAGAGGGAGAAGAGAAGAAGTGAGAACCCTGAGGCGATGGAGGAAGATGACGTGGAGGATGAGGTGGCGGAGATAAAAGCTGCTCACTTTGAGGAGTCGATGAAGTACGCAAGGAGGAGTGTGAGTGACGCTGATATTCGTAAGTATCAGGCGTTTGCTCAGACTTTGCAGCAGTCGAGAGGGTTTGGTTCGGAGTTTAGGTTTGCTGATAACACTGGCGGCGGTCGTGTTGTTGGTGGTGGTGATGGTGTTGCCGCCGATCCTTTTGCAGCTCCGGCTGGGGCAGCAGATGATGACGACCTCTATAATTAGGCTTTGTTTTCCTTCCTTTTTTCGGTTTTCTGTTTCTCGTACTTCAGCGATAAACTAATCGTGAAATTCACATGTGTTGTTAAGTTCTGATATAACTTGAAAGGTCCCGAAAAATATTACAATGAGATATTTTTTCTCAGTGTTTCTTTTAGACTTGTTAATGGTGGTTATGGCTTTTCCTTTTGCTTTTATATGTTGTATTATATATAATATCTGTTTGAAATAAATATTGAACATCCTTAGTTACTTTTTTCCTGACGACACGTGCCAAGAGTGTGATATATAATTTCGTATGTTTTTTATTTTTTTATATAAGCTAATTACCAGTTATTTGAAAATTAATTTTGATGGTATAAAAGCAAGTAAGAGGGAGATTGTATTGAGATATTTTACTGTTGGAATTGACTGATTAAATGAGGCCTACAAATTAATGAAAACCTTATCCCTTGGTGCAAATCTTTATTGATTAGAGCATTGAAACCCATATGTTTAAACATGTCTCTCGAGATGATATACGTCGACTCTGTTTACGCATTCGACATTTGATAAGTACGCCGACGATATTTATTTGAAACGGATGGAGTAAATTACATATTTAAAAGGACAATAATATTACATAAACTTCCTTCAAAGTCTATTGCACCTCTGAAGTAAAACATATATAACACTTACCCCTTAAATTATTATTTATAACACTTACCGTAAACATCAATTATTTTATATCTTAAACTTTAATACCGTAAACTTTTCTCTTTTATTGAATCGAATAACAAAAAAACAATAATTAAATTAATTAGTCCCGGCAATTTTACATGTTAAAAATTATTGAGCAATAGTTATCAATGGGCATGACCCAAACACTTGAATAATATCTCCAAGTGCTACATTACACTGGAAAATCAATCATTCACAAAATAAAAAAAAAAAACAAAAAAAAACATGAATAATCTAAGTGTCTGAGTTAGAAAAGAAGATGCAATAAAACATGATTTAAATAAAATAGATGGATCTAATCCAGAATTAGAGGGGGCCTATTTGAAATTCAATACCACAGGAAATGTGGTACAACCAAGATCCCAATTTGGCAGTACAGGGTGCATCAATTGACTTGCCACATTTTGGAATTCATTCATCACTCACTTTCACATGCTTCGTCCGGTCCCGTAACGGATGGTCCAGCGATTGCAGCAAGCGAGCTTGTATCAATCGACTCAAGTTCGAATCATTTTGTCGACCGTCGCTATGTCGAATTTGTCATACATAGTTAGCCTGACATGGTTTGCAACGATTACACGAAAATATAAATTTACTCAGTGCACTCATACAGTTGATTGCGGAAAAAAGTACAGACATCAATTGACTTGCCATAATTTGGAATTAATACATTATGCATTTTCACATGCATCTTTTTAACATTGAATTGTGGAATATTTCATCACTATGGATATGAAATGAAACGACACTAAAAGTTTGGACTTTACACGATAATATTCTATTTTTTTTATTTAATTTCTTTTTTTAGCTGAAAAGTATAGTAATTGGTTAAAAAAAACATGTCGAAATTAAAATTGACTGACTTGTCACACTTTGTTGTTGATATAGAAAAAACTCGTGTAAGATTTTTTTTTTTCTAACTTTCTTTAAAAATGAGAATAGTTACCGATTCTCCAATTTTTCTCATTTTGTTTCGAACTTATTAACCACTGTTATTAATTCAAAAATAATTACTACCCAAAAAGTATAAAATGAAAAAAAAAAAAAAAAAAAGAGAATAAATAAAAATCCAAGAGAAGCAATAATATATCCAACAACCAGTGTATGGAATTCTCGAATGGACGAGACACCACCTTTCAGTAACACGACTTATTTTTTTTTTTCTCAGCACTTGTCAGAATTGCACGTGTTACCCTTTTACCTTTCTTCCTCCCCTTTTCTTTACCCTTTTTTTTTCATTAATATTCCTTTTCATTTTTATTTATTTAAAAATATTATTTCATTTTCTACGTGAATAATATATATATATGTATAGTTATTAACACAAGCTGAATGGTCTTGTCGATGCCATAGGTTGGGTACGTACGTACTCGGTACTTCATGTAAAAAAATACGTACGTACCCCACTTTTATTAATTAATGCATAATTAATATAATTCCCAAGTAATTTAAAAAAAATCAATAAATCACTATAAAGAATTTATTTAATTAGTTTCAGTGATTGGATTCTTTAACCTAATTTTTTCAAATAGTTTGTACACCAAATTTAATATAATGCTGCAGTGGTAGTATATAATAATATAATATAAATAAAAATATATATATTTACCCTAGCTAGGTATATATATATATATATAGGTAGTGAATAAAAGAAAAAAGGAGGGCACAAGCTGTAATGATTCTCATCTACTCATAAAATCCTTTCCCTGCTTATATATTTTTACCAAGCACGCCTACATATTTTTCACCTGATCGATGACCTCACTTCTAGAGAGAGAGAGAGAGAGAGATCTAGAGAGAGAAAGAGAGGCTAAAATGGAAATATCAGTTAATATTGGGGAGATGTGAGCAGCAGAAGAGAAGAAGAAGAAGATCATCACAGAATTATTAACAGAAAGAAATATTATTATTATTATTATTAGGTAGAGAGAGAAGTCATGAAAAGTAGAGAGAGGAGAGAGAAAGGGGCCGCACGAGTGAGTGAGTGAGTGAGTGGTGGGGAACGTACGTCTATTCTAATTAGAATGTTAATAGCGACTGGATAATGGTGGTTCAGTGCAGATAGAGATGGATACACACACATTCATCACGTACTCGTACTCGTACTCGTACTTGTACTCGTACTCACCACCCACAACCACATTTTTTACTAGGTTGGATTAACTAATTTCTCGTTGCATTGTCGGCTTATTTTCATTACTCTACAACGTAACTACGCTTTTACTATGGATTACTTATAGTCTCGTTTACTGCGGTTAAACCTCTACACATTATTATTTAATGAACTCGAACTATATACTGTATTTTATTAATTTATTGAAATATTAGATTATTAATTATTACTATATATGCGGATGAAGTATAAACACTCAATTTTTTTTTTAAAATAATTAATAAATATAAACACTTATTTTGATATACTACTTTATTGGGTGTGACATGTATGTGACCTCCACCAATTTTGTTGTACATTGGTTGGTTGGTTAGTGAATTGCTATAATTAATCTAGAGCCATACGAGCATTTTCAAAAAAATATTTTATTTTCTTTCCTTTCAAAATTTCGTTATTTCTGAAACCCTAGTTGATTAGCTTGATCGATTACTGAAACTATAGTTGATTAATTAATTAGTATAGTAGACTACGTCGAATATCGTTGCTAAGACCTACGATGCGAAAAATCACAACAATTGGCAATGGTCCACCGCCTACAATTCAAAAATTAAAGTCCATAAACCAAGAAATAAATCAGTATATATTCGTAATACAACTACTAAATTACCGTGAATTATTATATTTTATAATTGTCGTCCATATAAACATCATGTGTGTGTGTATATATATAAATATAAAATATGTATATCATCAATAAAATGTATTTGAATTTTGAAAAGAGAAGTGTAGCTAGGTTAATTTGTTTATAGATTATAAGAAAGGCATCCCATGAAGATTGAATACTCAAATCATGAGTGTAAAGCACCCACATGCTTCAACAACAATATATATATATATATATATATATATATATATATATATATATATATATATATATATATATATATATATATATATATATATATATATATATATATATATATATATATATATATATATATATATAATCATGATATATTTGAACGAACAACTTTTCCAACAATATATATATAGTTCATGAAACCCTATTGCATATACAATTAATATAAATATATATATATATACACACAATTACCGAAACGCCCTATGTGCATATACAATTAATATAAATATATATATATATACACACAATTAAACGCTGAAGA